ACTAAAACCAACCCAAGTGACCAACATCATCATCGCCGTCGCGAGGAAATTCATAGCAGCAACCGAATGCTCTAAACGCATCGCGATGCAAAGTGAAACTAAACGATGTTGTTCTAATCTTGCCAGATAGATGCAGACTCCAAATATACAGCAGCAGCGGCAGGCATCGTCAGGGTCACGGGATGGAACTCACGACCTCCTGTGTACCAGGCGAGGTAGTCAACATCTCCTAGCCACCGTGATGATGATGAGAGAGACGCAGACTCCAAATATACAGCAGCGGCAGGCATCGTCAGGGTCACGGGATCGAACCCACGACCTCCTGTAGACCAGGCGAGGTAGTCAACATCTCCTAGCCACCGTGATGATGATAAGAGAGAGACGCAGACTCCAAATATACAGCAGCGGCAGGTATCGTCAGGGTCACGGGGTGGAACCCACGACCTCCTGTGTACCAGGCGAGGTAGTCAACATCTCCCTAGCCACCGTGATGATGAGAGAGAGATGCAGACTCCAAATATACAGCAGCAGCGGCAGGTATCGTCAGGGTCACGGGGTGGAACCCACGACCTCCTGTAGACCAGGCGAGGTAGTCAACATCTCTTAGCCACCGTGATGATGATGAGAGAGAGAGACGCAGACTCCAAATATAAAGCAGCAGCAGGCATCGTCAGGGTCACGGGATCGAACCCAGGACCTCCTGTGTACCAGGCGAGGTAGTCAACATCTCTTAGCCACCCTGATGATAAGAGAGAGATTCCAAATATACAGCAGCAGCAGGCATCGTCAGGGTCACGGGATCGAACCCAGGACCTCCTGTGTACCAGGCGAGGTAGTCAACATCTCCTAGCCACCGTGATGATGAGAGAGAGAGACACGCAGACTCCAAATATACAACAGCAGCAGCAGGCATCGTCAGGGTCACGGGATTGAACCCAGGACCTCCTGTGTACCAGGCGAGGCAGTCAACATCGCCCGTATGTTGAACACCTTCTGCACCAGTGCGGAAGCCATCGTTGCTAATCAGCGGTGCGGGCGGGTTCAAGGACGACAAACTAGACATGAAAACAAGGAGAAGCAGTTCTAAAGAAGTGGGGTTTGTTAACCGAGAGAGTGATTTTAAAGTGCAAAGCTGCCTGTGGCTTCTTAATGATGACAGAGGAGCGTTCCAGACGGCCGTAGAGGCACGACTGAAAGGGCGCGGTGCAGTGACGCTACAATGTAGACTCCAGACTATACACACCACACTATATAATATACTATACACTACACACACTATACACTACACTACTATACACTACTATACACTATACACCACACACTATACACTACACACTACACTACACACACTATACACCACACTATATAATACACTACACACTACACTACACACACTATACACCACACACTACACTACTATACACCACACACTATACACTGTAGACTCCACACTATACATACCATACTATATAATACACTATACACTACACACTACACTACACATACTATACACCACACACTACACTACTATACACTATACACCACACACTATACACTACACACCACACTATATAATACATTATACACTACACACTACACTACACACACTATACACCACACACTACACTACTATACACTATACACCACACACTAAACACTACACACCACACTATATAATACATTATACACTACACACTACACTACACACACTATACACCACACACTACACTACTATACACTATACACCACACACTATACACTACACACCACACTATATAATACATTATACACTACACACTACACTACACACACTATACACCACACACTACACTACTATACACTATACACCACACACTATACACTACACACCACACTATATAATACATTATACACTACACACTACACTACACACACTATACACCACACACTACACTACTATACACTATACACCACACACTATACACTACACACCACACTATTTAATACATTATACACTACACACTACACTACACACACTATACACCACACACTACACTACTATACACTATACACCACACACTAAACACTACACACCACACTATATAATACATTATACACTACTATACACTACTATACACCACACACTATACACTACACACCACACTATATAATACATTATACATTACACTATACACACACCACACACTACACTCCACACTACACACCACACACTAAACACCACACACTACACACTACACACCACTCACCACACTACACCCCACACACTACACTCCACACTATATAATACATTATACACTACACACCATACTATATAATACATTATACACTACACTACACACCACACAATATAATACATTATACACTACACCACACACCACACTGTACACCACACACACTACACACCACACACACTACACTCTACACACCACACACTATACACCACACACTACACACACACACTACACACTACACTATACACCACACACTACCCACACACTACACACCACTCACCACACACTACACACACACACTACACACCACATACACTACACACCACACACACTACACACCACACACTACACTATACACCACACACTACACTATACACCACTCCCCACACACACACTATACACCACACACACTACACACCACACACACCCTACACACCACACACACTACACTACACACACTACACACACTACACACCACACACACTACACACCACACACACTACACACCACACACACACTACACACCACACACACACTACACACCACACACACTACACACCACACACACTACACACCACACACTACACACACACTACACACACACTACACACCACACACACTACACACCACACACACACTACACACCACACACACACTACACACCACACACACTACACACCACACACACTACACACCACACACACACTACACACTACACACCACACACACTACACACCACACACACACTACACACCACACACACACTACACACTACACACACACTACACACCACACACACTACACACCACACACACTACACACCACACATTATACACTACACACCACACTACACACACTACACTGTACACCGCACTGTACTCTATAACAATATGAACGCAGCAAATGTGTACAGTGCAGTCTCATCGAGATATTTAAAAATAAACTCGGATACAATTTTACTATTCCATACGTGTTTACAGCTATTCCGTGTTAAAGCGTATTTTAATTAGCAACTAAAGAAAATAAATATAAATTAATTTCCCGTTTCTTAAAAGTTTGCGAGTCCCACCCCCCTCACCTCTATGGGGCTTGCGGCCATGGGCTGCGCGTAGTCGGGCGGGGCGGCCAGGCAAGCATGGGGGCCCGAGGCGGGGCCTGGGCCTCCGCGGGCCCCCCCCTGTTGCATGATTCTCTGCCCGGGTAGAGGCGTCTCGACCCCGGGCAGGGAGGGCGGCGGGGTGCCTTGGATCTGTAGGCCCGAATAGTCGGGCCGCTATTACAAATTTACTATTTTATCGCCGTTATTATTGTTTATTTGTATTATTATTAAAGTTGCAACTGTTATTATTTTATTTGTTGTTATTGTTGTTTAATAGTACGGCTAACTTTGAAGCGTTTGCGAGTTTAAACCCTTAAACGTTGTACCCCACGCAATGAAAGGCCAATGTGGTTTCCATTTCATTTAACCTTCGATTATAAACATCAATTTATCAGCGGATATCGTTAAAACTTTGACTTTTTTCGTCCAATAGTACAAGCGAACGTTACCAAGAGACACATTTGGATCATAGCAAGTGTTGCGATCGGCTAAATAATAACAAAAAAGATCGAAATCTCGTTTCTGCATTGCCCTATTCCAGTCTCTGTGTGTGTAGTGTGTAGAGTGTTAAGTGCGTATCACAATATAAACATTTCCCTCCCGCTAAATATCCATCTAACTTCATCAATCAACTACGTGTGGACATCGATATACTTTGCGATAAAGTTATCCAGTAACTCGTGTACGTTGTGGCGTCTATATTTGACTGTGCTACTTTGGGCAGCCGTATAAAGCCTTAAGTTTGTGTTCATAGATTGTGCTGCAAATGTTTATATTGTATACTATTTCTATTAGTTAAACACGCCTATAGTTGTATAAATACACTCTATGAGTGTGTATGTATCAGAACCACAACATGTATTTTAGAGTGTAGGGATATATTCTGCTATATGTGTGTTAACATCTGTTTATATTGTATACTATTTCTATTAGTTAAACACACCTTTGTTGTATAAATGCACTCTATGTGTGTGTGTATGTGTGTATATCAGAATCAGAACATGTATTTTAGAGTGTAGGGATATATTCTGATGCATGTGTGTGTTAACATCTGTTTATATTGTATACTATTTCTATTAGTTAAACACACCTTTGTTGTATAAATGCACTCTATGAGTGTGTGTATGTGTGTATATCAGAATCAGAACATGTATTTTAGAGTGTAGGGATATATTCTGATGCATGTGTGTGTTAACATCTGTTTATATTGTATACTATTTCTATTAGTTAAACACACCTTTGTTGTATAAATGCACTCTATGAGTGTGTGTATGTGTGTGTATCAGAATCAGAACATGTATTTTAGAGTGGAGAAATATATTCTGCTATATGTGTGTGTTTGTTAACATCTGTTTATATTGTACTATTTCTATTAGTTAAACACACCTTTGTTGTATAAATGTACTCTAAGTGTGTGTATGTGTGTATATCAGAATCAGAACATGTATTTTAGAGTGTAGGGATATATTCTGCTATATGTGTGTTAACATGTTTATATTGTATACTATTTCTATTAGTTAAACACACCTTTGTTGTATAAATACACTCTATGTGTGTATGTGTGTGTATCAGAATCAGAACATGTATTTTAGAGTGGAGAAATATATTCTGCTGTGTGTGTGTTAACATCTGTTTATATTGTATACTATTTCTATTAGTTAAACACACCTTTGTTGTATAAATGCACTCTATGAGTGTGTGTATGTGTGTGTATCAGAATCAGAACATGTATTTTAGAGTGTAGGGATATATTCTGCTATATGTGTGTTAACATCTGTTTATATTGTATACTATTTCTATTAGTTAAACACACCTTTGTTGTATAAATGCACTCTATGTGTGTATGTATGTGTGTATCAGAATCAGAACATGTATTTTAGAGTGGAGGGATATATTCTGCTATATGTGTGTTAACATCTGTTTATATTGTACTATTTCTATTAGTTAAACACACTTTTGTTGTATAAATGCACTCTATGTGTGTGTGTATGTGTGTATATCAGAATCAGAACATGTATTTTAGAGTGTAGGGATATATTCTGATGCATGTGTGTGTGTTAACATCACTGTTTATATTGTATTGTGTACAATTTGTACACAATACACACCTACACCCGTATGTATAGTGCACACTTTAGCACTCTATGAGTGTGTGTGTGTAGAAATCAGAATATGTATTAGCCTGCAGCAATATATTCTGCTGCATAAGTGCTATTTGTGTGTGTTAATAGCTGTGTTTATATTCTATGTTATCAATTTGTACACACACACACCCCTCTCTGTATCTTGTACACATGTACTATATGAGTGTATCAGAATCAGTATTGATAATGTGTTTATATTGTACTATATCGATTTGTACACACTCCTCTCTGTATATTGTACACATGTACTATATGAGTGTGTGTATCAGAATCAGTATTGATGTGTTTATATTGTACTATTTCAATTTGTACACACTCCTCTGTATGTATATTGTACACATGTACTATATGAGTGTGTGTATCAGAATCAGTATTGATAATGTGTTTATATTGTACTATATCAATTTGTACACACTCCTCTGTATGTATATTGTACACATGTACTATATGAGTGTGTGTATCAGAATCAGTATTGATAATGTGTTTATATTGTACTATATCGATTTGTACACACTCCTCTCTGTATATTGTACACATGTACTATATGAGTGTGTGTATCAGAATCAGTATTGATGTGTTTATATTGTACTATTTCAATTTGTACACACTCCTCTGTATGTATATTGTACACATGTACTATATGAGTGTGTGTATCAGAATCAGTATTGATAATGTGTTTATATTGTACTATATCAATTTGTACACACTCCTCTGTATGTATATTGTACACATGTACTATATGAGTGTGTGTATCAGAATCAGTATTGATAATGTGTTTATATTGTACTATATCGATTTGTACACACTCCTCTCTGTATATTGTACACATGTACTATATGAGTGTGTGTATCAGAATCAGTATTGATGTGTTTATATTGTACTATTTCAATTTGTACACACTCCTCTGTATGTATATTGTACACATGTACTATATGAGTGTGTGTATCAGAATCAGTATTGATAATGTGTTTATATTGTACTATTATCAATTGTACACACTCCTCTGTATGTATATTGTACACGTGCACTATATGAGTGTGTGTGCGTATATCAGAATATGTATTTTTTTAAACCAATTTTGCAAAACATGGGCCAGGAATCATCGACACCCTCAAAGTCATAAAATAATGTGGAAGAAATTTGCTTAAATGCATCGGGTCCAATCGAGTTTAGTTACGTTTTAAACCGATGCTAGTGGTGGTGATGGTGTGTGTGTACAGTGCTATCTATGTATTATATCCACTCCAGGTCTCTGTGTGGTGAGTCTATGGGTCTCTGTGTGGTGAGTCTGTGGGTCTCTGTGTGGTGAGTCTGTGGGTCTCTGTGTGGTGAGTCTGTGGGTCTCTGTGTGGTGAGTCTGTGGGTCTCTGTGTGGTGAGTCTGTGGGTCTCTGTGTGGTGAGTCTATGGGTATCTTTTTTTTTAATGGGTCTATGGGTCTCTGTGAGAGTGGTGAGTCTATGGGTCTCTGTGTGGTGAGTCTATGGGTATCTTTTTTTTTCATGGGTCTTTGGGTCTCTGTGAGAGTGGTGAGTCTATGGGTCTCTCTGCGTGTGAGTGGTGAGTCTATGGTTCTCTGTATGATGAGTCTATGGGTCTGTGTGTGTGTGTGGTAAATCTGTGGGTCTCTGATGAGTCTGTGGGTCTTTGCGTGATGAGTCTATGGGTCTCTGTGAGTCTATGGCTCTGTGTGGTGAGTCTATGGCTCTCTGTGCGGTGAGTCTATGGCTCTCTGTGGGGTGAATCTATGGCTCTCTGTGTGGTGAGTATATGGCTCTCTGTGCGGTGAGTCTATGGCTCTCTGCGCGGTGAGTCTATGGGTCTCTGTGTGAGTGGTGAGTCTATGGCTCTCTGTGTGTGAGTGTGGTGAGTCTATGGCTCTCTGCGTGGTGAGTCTATGGGTCTCTGTGTGAGTGGTGAGTCTATGGCTCTCTGTGTGTGAGTGTGGTGAGTCTATGGCTCTCTGCGTGGTGAGTCTATGGGTCTCTGTGTGATGAGTCTATGGCTTCTCTGTGTGGTGAGTCTATGGCTCTCTGCGTGGTGAGTCTATGGCTCTCTGCGTGGTGAGTCTATGGCTCTGTGTGAGTGGTGAGTCTATGGGTCTCTGTGTGATGAGTCTATGGCTCTCTGCGTGGTGAGTCTATGGCTCTCTGCGTGGTGAGTCTATGGCTCTGTGTGAGTGGTGAGTCTATGGGTCTCTGTGTGAGTGGTGAGTCTATGGATCTCTCTGTGTGTGTGGTGAGTCTATGGGTCTCTGTGTGTGCGGTCGGTCTATGTCTCTCTGTAAGGTGAGTCTATGTCTCTCTGTGTGTGTGGTGAGTCTATGTCTCTCTGTAAGGTGAGTCTATGTCTCTCTGTGTGTGTAAGGTGAGTCTATGTCTCTCTGTGTGTGTGTGGTGAGTCTATGCGCCCTCCGCACAACCATAATCAGCGCTTAGCCCCCCACGTTCTGTTAAGACTACACGGCTGCCGCTGCTGCTACTGGGGGGGGGGGGGCCCTTTGCCTCTATCTCTGCGTGAATCTTCGTGACCCTTTGGCACAGCAGGGAGCCCGCCTGCAAGAGACAGGGGGTGAGAGTTAGACTCCAGGACATGCGTCAGAGTTTGCTCGCAAAAGAGAGGGAAGGGGAGGAGATCCATTTACAGGTGAATATTGCATCATGGGATCTCCTTTGCCAGTACCAACATATACTAATAGGGGTTTTTCCCCTTTTTTCTGGCAACAAAACTGACACCTTTTGCAAGGAATCATGTTTACATTAACCACAATACTTGCAGTCAAATGCAAACAAAAAACAATACTCTGATCATTTATGCATTGTCTTTCAAACTGATTGGTCCACACCAGAGACAGCTTTCTTTAGAGCCTAGTCTCACATGGTGTTCGACCAGATGACGCCAAAAGGCGCACAGTTCAAGGACAACGCACTATCAGAGTAATGAAATTATCAGAGTATTGTTTTTTGTTTGCATTTGACTGCAAGTATTGTGGTTAATGTAAGCATGTTTCCTTGCAAAAGGTGTCAGTTTTGTTGCCAGAAAACGGGGGAAACCCTATTAGGTGAATATTGATCGGAAGCTTTGGTGCCTGCAGGAATTCCCATATTCTCTTTGGTTCTTTCGGTAAAGTCCACGTAGGTAGACAAAATAAAAAATCACGACCACGTTTCGACAATAAAACAAATCTCACGACGTTTCGACTGCAACACAAGCAGCAAGCATCGTCATCGTCAGGTGTGAAATCCACGGCAAGAAAATTTTAAAATTTGAAATTTTTAAAAATTGAAATTTGAAAATTTGAAAATTTAAAATATTGAAATTTTTACATTTTCTTGCTGTGGATTTCACACCTGATGATGTTGCTGCTTGTGTTGCAGTCAAAACGTGAGAAATTTTATTTGTTATATTTATATTATTTTATTATTTCCCTTCTACGTGACGACTTTACCGAAAGAACCAACAATATGAATCCCTGCAGTCACGAAAGAAGCTTTAAATCACAAGACGTTTTAGATTTCAACGCGAGCAATCACATCAGGTGAGGGAACCACAGCAAGACAACTTTGCCTGCATCACCAGTTTTCTTGCTGTGGTTGCCCTCACCTGATGATGATTGCTCGCGTTGAAATCTAAAACGTCTTGTGATTTAAAGCTTCTTTCGTGACTGCAGGGATTCATATTGTTGGTTCTTTCGGTAAAGTCACCACGTAGAAGGGAAATAATACAATAATACAAATATAAAACAATACAAATCCTCACGACGTTTCCGCTGCAACACAAGCAGCAATCATCGTCAGGTGTGAAATCCACAGCAAGAAAATTTAAAAAATGTAAAATATAAAAAATTTAAGATTTTCAAAATAAATTTTTTTCTTGCAATTTCAAATTTTCTTGCTGTGGATTTCACACCTGATGACGATTATTGCACGTGTTGCAGCCGAAACGTCGTGAGAATTTGTATTGTTTTATATTATTTTATTATTCTATTATTTCCCTTCTACGTGATGACTTTACCGAAAGAACCAAGAAAATATCTAAAACGTCGTCCTGATCGATTATCTTGTCTACCTACGTGGACTTTACCTACAGAAACCAAAGAGGGAATTTACAGGTAACCCCGTAGAATCCCATCGGGTTCAAGACACCGCTGGCGGATTGTGTGGAAGCTTCTTGCTTGTAGCCAGAGGGTGGTGACGACTTTCCTGAGGGTCTATGGGTCTCTATCTGTGTGCGTGTGAGTGTGGTGAGTCTATGGGTCTCTGTGTGGTGAGTCTATGGGTCTCTGTGTAGTGTGTGGTGAGTCTATGGGTCTCTGTGTGTGTGGTGAGTCTATGGGTCTCTGTGTAGTGTGTGGTGAGTCTATGGGTCTCTGTGTGTGTGGTGAGTCTATGGGTCTCTGTGTGTGTGGTGAGTCTATGGGTCTGTGTGGTGAGTCTATGGGTCTCTGTGTGTGTGTTGAGTCAATGGGTCTCTGTCTGTGTGTGAGTGTGGTGAGTCTATGGGTCTCTGTGTGTGTGGTGAGTCTATGGGTCTGTGTGTGTGTGTGTGTGGTGAGTCTATGGGTCTGTGTGGTGAGTCTATGGGTCTCTGTGTGTGTGTGGTGAGTCTATGGGTCTGTGTGGTGAGTCTATGGGTCTCTGTGTGTGTGTTGAGTCTATGGGTCTCTGTCTGTGTGTGAGTGTGGTGAGTCTATGGGTCTCTGTGTGTGTGGTGAGTCTATGGGTCTGTGTGTGTGTGTGTGGTGAGTCTATGGGTCTGTGTGGTGAGTCTATGGGTCTCTCTGTGTGTGTTGAGTCTATGGCTCTGTGTGGTGAGTCTATGGGTCTCTGTGTGTGTGTGTTGAGTCTATGGGTCTCTGTCTGTGTGTGAGTGTGGTGAGTCTATGGGTCTCTGTGTGTGTGGTGAGTCTATGGGTCTCTGTGTGTGTGGTGAGTCTATGGGTCTCTGTGTGGTGAGTCTATGGGTCTCTGTGTGGTGAGTCTGTGGGTCTCTGTGTGTGAGTGTGGTGAGTCTCTGTGTGTGTGTGTGGTGAGTCTATGGGGCTATGTGTGTGTGTGTGGTGAGTCTATGGGTCTCTGTGTGTGTGGTGAGTCTATGGGTCTCTGTGTGGTGAGTCTATGGGTCTCTGTGTGTGTGTGTGGTGAGTCTATGGGTCTCTGTGTGGGTGGTGAGTCTGTGGGTCTCTGTGTGTGTGTGAGTGTAGTGAGTCTATGGGTCTCTGTGTGGTGAGTCTATGGGTCTCTGTGTGGGTGGTGAGTCTGTGGGTCTCTGTGTGTGTGTGTGTGTAGTGAGTCTATGGGTCTCTGTGTGTGTGTGTGGTGAGTCTATGGGTCTCTGTGTGTGAGTGTGGTGAGTCTATGGGTCTGTGTGTGTGTGTGGTGAGTCTATGGGTCTCTGTGTGTGAGTGTGGTGAGTCTATGGGTCTCTGTGTGTGTGGTGAGTCTATGGGTGTGTGTGTGTGGTGAGTCTAAGGGTCTCTGTGTGTGTGTAGTGAGTCTATGGGTCTGTGTGTGAGTAGTGAGTCTATGGGTCTCTGTGTGTGTGTGGTGAGTCTATGGGTCTCTCTGTGGGTGTGGTGAGTCTATGGGTCTGTGTGTGTGTGGTGAGTCTATGGGTCTCTGTGTGTGTGTAGTGAGTCTATGGGTCTGTGTGTGTGTGTAGTGAGTCTATGGGTCTGTGTGTGTGTGTGGTGAGTCTATGGGTCTGTGTGTGTGTGGTGAGTCTATGGGTCTGTGTGTGTGTGTGGTGAGTCTATGGGTCTGTGTGTGTGTGTGGTGAGTCTATGGGTCTGTGTGTGTGTGTGGTGAGTCTATGGGTCTATGTGTGTGTGGTGAGTCTATGGGTCTGTGTGTGTGTGTGGTGAGTCTATGGGTCTCTGTGTATGTGGTGAGTCTATGGGTCTCTCTGTGTGTGTGGTGAGTCTATGGGTCTGTGTGTGTGGTGAGTCTATGGGTCTCTGTGTGTGTGGTGAGTCTATGGGTCTCTGTGTATGTGGTGAGTCTATGGGTCTCTCTGTGTGTGTGGTGAGTCTATGGGTCTCTGTGTGTGTGGTGAGTCTATGGGTCTCTGTGTATGTGGTGAGTCTATGGGTCTCTCTGTGTGTGTTGTGAGTCTATGGGTCTGTGTATGTGGTGAGTCTATGGGTCTCTGTGTGTGTGGTGAGTCTATGGGTCTCTGTGTATGTGGTGAGTCTATGGGTCTCTCTGTGTGTGTTGTGAGTCTATGGGTCTGTGTATGTGGTGAGTCTATGGGTCTCTGTGTGTGTGGTGAGTCTATGGGTCCGTGTGTGTGGTGAGTCTATGGGTCTGTGTGTGTGGTGAGTCTATGGGTCTCTGTGTGTGTGGTGAGTCTATGGGTCTGTGTGTGTGTGTGGTGAGTCTATGGGTCTGTGTGTGTGTGTAGTGAGTCTATGGGTCTGTGTGTGTGTGTGGTGAGTCTATGGGTCTGTGTGTGTAGTGAGTCTATGGGTCTCTGTGTGTGTGGTGAGTCTATGGGTCTGTGTGTGTGGTGAGTCTATGGGTCTGTGTGTGTGTGTAGTGAGTCTATGGGTCTGTGTGTGTGTGTGGTGAGTCTATGGGTCTGTGTGTGTGTGTGGTGAGTCTATGGGTCTGTGTGTGTGTGTGGTGAGTCTATGGGTCTCTGTGTGTGTGTGGTGAGTCTATGGGTCTATGTGTGTGTGGTGAGTCTATGGTCTGTGTGTGTGTGTGGTGAGTCTATGGGTCTCTGTGTGTGTGTGGTGAGTCTATGGGTCTGTGTGTGTGTGTGTGGTGAGTCTATGGGTCTGTGTGTGTGTGTGGTGAGTCTATGGGTCTCTGTGTGTGTGTGGTGAGTCTATGGGTCTGTGTGTGTGTGTGGTGAGTCTATGGGTCTGTGTGTGTGTGTGGTGAGTCTATGGGTCTGTGTGTGTGTGTGGTGAGTCTATGGGTCTGTGTGTGTGTGTAGTGAGTCTATGGGTCTCTGTGTGTGAGTGGTGAGTCTATGGGTCTCTGTGTGTGTGTGGTGAGTCTATGGGTCTCTGTGTGTGTGTGGTGAGTCTATGGGTCTCTGTGTGTGAGTGGTGAGTCTATGGGTCTGTGTGTGAGTGTAGTGAGTCTATGGGTCTGTGTGTGTGAGTGGTGAGTCTATGGGTCTCTGTGTGTGTGTGTGGTGAGTCTATGGGTCTGTGTGTGTGTGTGGTGAGTCTATGGGTCTGTGTGTGTGTGTAGGGAGTCTATGGGTCTGTGTGTGTGTGTGGTGAGTCTATGGGTCTGTGTGTGTGTGGTGAGTCTATGGGTCTGTGTGTGTGTGGTGAGTCTATGGGTCTGTGTGTGTGTGTGGTGAGTCTATGGGTCTCTGTGTGTGAGTAGTGAGTCTATGGGTCTCTGTGTGTGAGTAGTGAGTCTATGGGTCTCTGTGTGTGTGTGGTGAGTCTATGGGTCTCTGTGTGTGAGTAGTGAGTCTATGGGTCTCTGTGTGTGAGTAGTGAGTCTATGGGTCTCTGTGTGTGAGTAGTGAGTCTATGGGTCTCTGTGTGTGAGTAGTGAGTCTATGGGTCTGTGTGTGTGTGTGGTGAGTC